GTATGTAATCTAAGTAGAGTACTAATTGCTGACCATGGCTAAAATTGTCTGTTGCAGCTTGGAGCTCTGATAGGCTGAAGTTCTGCAGGGAAGACTTGAAGCTGTACAAATTTCTCAGCACTGGATTCTCTCTAGAGCTCCTACTCTTTCTTCTTGATATCTTAGGCACCACAAATGAAGGAAAGGAAACTAAGTGCTTATCCTTTGCTTGTCTTGATCTTTTTCTCCATGCTTTAAAGAATCTGCTCCAACTAGAATTTCCTGAATTTGCACAACGAACTGGTGATGCCATGAGACCGTCGTCAGGAGAATCTGAGTTGTTGTCAATACCTCCTAAGCAGGCTTCTAAAACTCCTCTAGGAGACGATTGATCTTGCCTCTCCTTCTCTAGCTCTAAAATTCTCAAATCTTCGGAAAAAAAAAAAAAGAAAAGGGCTAAGGGTAGGAATAGCAAGTAAATTTTAAACATCAAGGTTGACATAACCAGAGAATGATAGAATTACCATGAGCTGATGCAGAGGAAGAAAGCACGGACTTGTTTCGTTTGTGTTTCACTCTACTGCCATCTAATTGCAAGTTTTTCTCTGGTCTGATGCTGGAACTCTTGGAACGTTCCCTAAACCAAATCCAGTTGCCAATAAAGAATAAAAAATTAAGTCCAACTCACACAAGGTATTAAATTATATCCATATTGCTTTTGAGCAAGTGTATGAAAGACTGAATTTATGCAAGAGCTGGTTCAGAGAGCTTCAATATTGCCGCGAATTCACAGAACGGAATCTAACATTAAAGCTATAGTGAGCATAGAGAAGACAAGAACAGGAATCAAACCAAAATACACCTATGTTCGTGAGCAAAAAATGGACATGCCCAATAAAGAGCATAACGTTAAACCGGCTAAAGGAATAGCCAAGACATAAAAACATCCAAGGTTAGAGGGACAATGATGATTACCCCAAAAGAAAAACTGAAAACTATAAATACCATAAAAAGGGAAAATGGCCTAAAAAGCTCATTTATGACATATGGTATCCAAATCCCCAAATTTGACAAGCAGAATCCCAAAGATAAGTAACAGATCATATAGAAGCATGAAATCAGAGAAGTACAATCACCAATCCTCTTTGTTACCCCCACAAAAATCCTCAAACCACCACAGCAAAATCTATTTATTGCTACTTTTTGGCCAACATAGCAAAATTAAATTACCTTCCCTAAAAGAATCATACAGAAATGATAGACAACACAAAATATAAAATAAATGCAAGCTTTAGGCCCAAAAAAAGGGAGAAAATTTGAGAAAGAAAAATAATGCATACCATAGTGAGTGATTGAAATTGAAGCAGAACACTCATAGAAGGAAAAACAAGGAACAATATTTATCAAGAACTGTGCATGTAATGTAAATCACCTCAAAACCCGTAATCTCATCCTTCAGCAAGAACAAAAAAAAAATAGAAACAGAAAACAACAAAAATCAAGGGAAGCGAGGGCGGAGAGAACAGAATAGAAACCCCTACTTTGTACGTATCTCCTCAATCATTGCAAAATCTAAAAACCCCATTTGCTTAAATTCAATGAAAATTAGAAAAAAAAAATTGCAGAAAAAAGAACATACGCAGAAGAAGGAGCATGAAGGGGAACACAGGCATACCATTGATTCGGAGGTCTGTTTTTTAGAACACTTGCCATGAGTGTTGAATACCCTCTAGAGATAAAGCAAGAAACAAAGACAGCAATGTGAAGAGAGGAGGGAGAGAGAACAGATGGCGGTGGTTACTATTACATTAAATTCCTGTTGTTTAGTACATTATTTTGACAGAAAAACATGAAAAAGCTCTTCTTTTGTTTATTGTCCACTCCAGACCCAGAAAAGGCAAGCTACAAACCATAAATGGCAAACTCCCATTACTCCCTTTCGTTTTTTTTCTCTCTCTTTCTCCAGAGAACGCAAGATTTGAGCAGACCCTTTCCCTTTGAAAAAAGCAGGAAAAAAAAAAAAAAAAAAAA